GGAGAAATGACAGAAATAAACGACATGAAGAAAGTGTCTAAACATGGTCTCTAGCTAAGCCTTCATGCCTTTCCATAGGTTCATTTCTTTCATTTACTCTTCTTCTTCAGGAGCTGCTGAACAAATATTTAATTGAGAATTCCACAAATCCCGAGAGCAAAGTCTTCTACCTGAAGATGAAGGGCGACTACTACAGATACCTTGCTGAAGTCGCCTCAGGAGATGACAAGAAAGGTAAGAATGCATGGCTGTTAGTTTTGTGGATTTTACAAACATGTTTGCAGAAAATGTAGGACTGGACTTTCCTTGGTATGACGCAACTGGAAACATCGAAACAAGGGGAAGTTTGTCTCGTGTCTTGAGTCATCCGCTCAATACAAATGCTCATTTCTTTCCCTTTTTTTCTTTTCTTCTTTAAATTTCATATATTATAATTTTTTGGATGGCCTGGTTTTAGGCTTCTTTTTGCAGCTTTGTAGGCCTGAACGGTAAAATATATATGTATGTATATATATATATATATATATATATATATATATATATATTAGGGCTGTGCAAAAGTTCATTGCGATTAAAATCCAAAATAAAAGTCTGTGTTTACATAATATATTTGTGTGTGCTGTATATAATTATGCTGTATATATAAATACACACACATGCATGTATATATTTAAGAAAATGTGTTATTCATATATAAAATATTTATATAATATAGATTATGTATTTATAAATGTATACAGAATTTAAGCGCAAATAATTCTTAAATATATACATGCATGCATAGGTATTTATATATACAAAATAATTATATACAGCACACACAAATATATTATGTAAACAGACTTTTATTTTGGATGCGATTAATCGCAATGAACTTTTGCACAGCCCTAATATATATATATATATATATATATACATTTACAATATTTGTAGTAATATGTAATAAATTAGCAATGTTGTTTTAGTTTGTTAAAAAGGTAGAATTTATGAAGCTAACGTAACTCCATGAATTGATAATATGCAAAATACTGCAGATTTTACACTGAAGCCATTCAAAAATGGTAAAAGCAGCACTGGCCTGAAACTTCATATTATTGTTGAGCCCTACTTTGACATTATTGTATCCAATATGCATTGCATGACTAACCATTTACTTTTCTTTCTTTCTTTTTTTTACAGCAACCATAGAAAACTCTCAGGATGCTTACCAGAAAGCATTTGATATAAGCAAGACAGAGATGCAGCCAACACACCCCATTCGTCTGGGTCTGGCCCTAAACTTTTCTGTCTTTTTCTACGAGATCCTTAACTCTCCAGATAAGGCCTGCGCCCTTGCTAAACAGGTACGTTTTTAAATTACAACGTTCGCTGTATATCCATTACGGATGTGGATATTTTGTCATCTTTAACAATGTGTTTTTGTACATATTTAGGCATTTGATGAGGCCATAGCAGAGCTTGATACGCTGAACGAAGAGTCTTACAAAGACAGCACTCTTATCATGCAGCTACTGAGAGACAACCTCACAGTAAGTAACAGCAGAGCCATTTTATTTCCTCACAGGTGTGGGATAGTGAGCATAGAGGCATCGCAAATAGTTTTTAAAATGTATAGAGGCTTTGAAATTGCTTATTTGTTTTAATAGAGTTGAGAAATACCGTAAAATGTCAAAACGGAGAGAGATGTGATTTAAGAGATCAAAATAAATCCCTCTGTTCACAATCCTGTTAACTGACCGAGTCTCTTCAGAACATTTACTAAACCACTCAATTCATAAAGATTAATTTTACGATCTCTTTATGAACTCTTTGAAGTGTCAAAGTGGTAGTTGAATAGACAGTCAATGGAGGGACAGAAAGCTCTTGGATTTCATCAAAAAGATCTTCACTTGTGTTCCAAAAATGAACAAAAGTCTTAAAAGTCTGGAATGACATGAGGGAGAGTAATTAATGCCAGAATTTTAATTTTTGAAAGTTTTGCACTACAATCGGCTGCTTTTCATGCCTTCAGTCAACAAAACACATAGATGAAACTGGTTGATGCAAATGTGATACAACAGTTAAAAGAACTTGAAGTAAATATAAACTATTGTAGTATATAAGTAATACTAAAATAACATGGATTGTGTTCTGACCCTGGTATATAATTATTTTCTTCCACCAGTTATGGACATCTGACAACGCACCAGATGAGGGAGAAGGAGGCGAGGGAGGAGAGAACTAATCTACACACTCCTTCAGCAAAGAAAACAACCTTTTTACACATCTCCTTTCCTTTATCACTCCATGTCAGAATTCCTCCAGTAAAGATCAAACCCATGATTAATGAAGAGCTGTTTATGAAAAAAAAAAAGAGAAAAAATCATTTAGTCTTTTCACAAGTGCAGCTTTTGGACAAGAAAAGAAAGATATTTGGGGAGAAACCCTGTTCCCTTAGTTTGTTTGTCTTGGCCTTCCATAATGTGCAGTTTCTGCTGTAGAAAAGTATGACTAGTGTCATTTTATACAAACATAATCTTAAAGTAATAGTTAACGGAAAATAAATTAATGAATAAATTAAAATTAAGGACATGCATTTCATCACAGCTAAGTCTGAGACTAAAAAGTAATTGCAGGGATATTAAAAGCATTTAGATAACTGTTGTCATATACACCTACTGTATCTTGTACTTTAACACTCTTACCTGTTTCACCTCAGCACTACCACGGGTTGTGCACTTCCACTGAAAGCGGTGGTCAGTCACGCTTTAGATAGTTCAATATGGAAATGTAACAACAACAAAAAAAAAAGACGTTTGTTGAAATGGCGTGCATTTCAGATTTTACTTGGAAATATTAGCATCTGCAGTGGTATGTAGTATCTGACGGTCCTCCGTTTATAAACTGTTTAATTATATATTTACAGTTTTTCACTTGATTTTGGTCTGTTTAGTGTTCCCTTTGCTTTTTATGGAAATCGAAATCATCCATAGAAATTAAAACCATTTGTAAGATGACTTAGGGCATATTTTATTTTATTTGTTTAGTAATGCTATGTTAAAAGTGAAACTGTGCATTTAGCAGTACTCAACTAGCATGCAGACCAGTTCTGACACGATCTGTGGCACAATGTGGTAATATGGTCTTGATGGTTTGATGCACGTATTAATGGCCCACTCTAGAAATTGATTTCACGTAACGCATGTTAAGAACGATAGAAGTCCAGAAACGAGTATCTTTCTTCTGACTGCTAGCGTTGAATTTGTGTTGTTGGCAAATAACATTGCCTGTGTATGTCCGGAACACTGGACTGGGAATCAATGCCATATTGCCAATATTAAAGTTCTGTTTAGTACTTTTTAATGCATTGTGCACAGGTGTGTGTGGTTGTCCGGAGAGTGTCATTATAGTTTGGACCACTATTACCTTGTTTCTCCTTTTTGTCTTTTTTTTTTTTTATTGTGTATGTGATTGATTTTTTTTTTCTCCCTCTCTCTCCCATGGATTTTAGTCTCACAAAAGCCTTGTGAAAATGTTTTATGCCCTATGTATGTTATGTAACATGCTTAAAAATTACATTTTATAAACCAATTTGCTGTCCTGTGTTTTTTTATTTTATTTTCTATAATTACTTTATATTAAATAGTGGATAATCTTCACTTTGGAGATTTATAATCGAGAATTGAACTACTGTATATCCAATTATTAGGTTTTGAGTCAAAAGTGTATCTACATGTGTTTTGCTTGTTCTGGGTTTGAATGTTGGTTTCAAACATATGCTAGTGCCCATGTGTTACGCTGTATTGTGCTGGGGCACTGGAATTAAAGCTGGAGATGCTGGATAAGCTTATTAAGAAGGCGGGCTTTGTTGTTGGAATGGATCTGGATATTATTGAGGCTGTTGCTGAGAGAAGAATAACGTCCAAACTGCTGGCCATTACGAACAATACCTCACACCACTTCCAAGACATCCATGTTGGAATGAAGTTCATTCAGCAATCGATTGATCCAGCCCTGGTGCATCAGAGACTGCTACAGGAGGTCATTTATGCTTACTGTTGTGAGACTTTACAATTCATCTATCATATGTAACCTTTTACGCTAGGAACTGGTATCTGCTCATCTCATACTTAATGCAGTAAATTCAATTTATTACATTTTACTGTTATTTTTTCAATACTTCCAACAAATATGTGCAATAATGATTGTTTCTTGAATCATGAATACTGTTTTATAGGGTCTTAGCATAATTACAATACACAATAATATATATTTTAATTTAAATACCTCATATTTAAATAATTTATATTTTTAAATTGTATAGGGTATTTATTTGTTTTGGGTTTATATTGTAGTCTGTTGTCCTGGTTTTTTTTATATACAAAAGTCAGTGAAGGCTTGATCTGAACTTTTTGATTGATGTTTTTCAAGTGTGAAATTGGGGAAAGTTGTCAGACATTTTAGATTTTCTATAGTTTGTTTAATTACATTTATTTTTTAATTTTTTTTTTTTGGGGGAGGGGGGCTATGTTTCACATTTTCTGATTGGGTTTATGAATTGTTTTTCTGTTTAAAATTTTCTAGAGAGCAAGCTATTTACCTCATATAGTCACGACGATATAGTCATAAAGAGCTTAAAGAATCTGGAAAAAAATACAGAATGTTAATTCCTAGTTCATTTAAGCTAAAGTTTTAACCAAATACTACACTACAGTAGGATGACCTATTTGTTAGTATAAAGCCTAGTTTCAATACAGTGACACACAGTAACGTAATTAGGCCTATTACACAAAGAATCCTCAGTTGGTTATCTAAGTTTTTTGATCCCAAATAAGGCAGCAAAGTTTTCCAGTTTTGGGTGAGCAGCGGCTTATAGGCTGAAGAAAACAGCCTTAACTAATTCTATTTAAAATAGAAACAATCAAAAATCAGGTCAGAGACATTTACCATGTATGTGCCAACTGGCTTTCTTTATACAGATACATGACTTTTATTATGTAATGTTTTTAAACGTTGACCAGGAAGTACAAAATACGTCACTACAAAACGGTGATTTCACGTTCACGTTGGATTGTATTTAAAATGTTTAATAAAAAGCCGCGCAGAAATTTCAGGCAAAGAAAAAATGAATCCAGTGATGAAGATGAGAATGAAAAGCTCGGCGGTGTTGACGATGGAATGGAAACGGAGAAAGCAGATTCAAAAGCAAATTTACCGCGAGGCAGGATTTCAGGTAACGTTAGTTCAAAGGCTCGCGAGTGTGACTCCAGTGATGGTGAGGAGCCCTCTGTCACCGGACTCCAGTCCAGAGACATAAAACACCAGTCGAAGAGCAAAACACTCAGCTTCTTTGACGATAAAGACGGTGAACATTTTACTATAACCAGTCATATGCTCTTATATGGTAAATAGATTCGTTTTAACGAATAAACCTTAACGTTACTCTCTTAAGTTACAGCCACTGAGGGAAGTTTTAAAGTAAAACGGTCAGTCAATAGAGAAGTTGTGTTCCAGGCGCGGAATAAAGAGGATGCTCCTGTACCATTACAAGGTACTGTAACTGAAATAACTACTTAGGTCTGATCTGAAGACATAATTTTCATCTGCCAGTGAATGTTATAGTCCATAACACTTTATCTGTTTTCAGTTAAGAAGAATAAGGATGTCAGTTTGCAATCTGACAGTGATGCCGATTCTTCTGTGGAAGAAATACCCCCTGACAGTGATGATGATGATGATGATGATGATGATGATGATGCAAGCTCTTCTGCCATGTCAAGTTCATCTTGTTCTTCAAAACCACAAAGAGGTTCTGTCTTCACCTAAATCATTTGCCTAAGGAACCAGTTAACTATCTGAACAAAACAGATTAAATACAATAAGCATAACGTTTTGTTTTTTTAATTAAATTAATGCACTATATTATTTCATTAATATTTTGAGAGGATCTCATGGTATCTCTGAATTAGCCACCATTTATTTCTATATAAATTCAACACAATATTAAGGAGATAATATTTTCCCCATTTACTTCATATTGTGGCCTTTTTGGGGCCATTTAGCCTTAAAGGAGTAGTTCACTTTAAAATTTCACTTTCTATTGCAATTGTCTACAGGGGAACTTTAAAACCCTGAGGACCACCCGAGGTTTAAAGCGATGGTTTACCAAACTATGAAAAATCTGTTATTGTTTACTCATTGTTAATTTGTATTGTTGCAGTCATCATTCCTGATGCTAGAAATATCCGTGCTGCCAAAGAGAAAAGGAGAAATGCCAGAGGCCAGCAAGATTACATCTCACTGGATTCACCCCACACTCCTGGAAGCCTACAGGAAGAAGATCCGAGCAATGAAGAACAAGACAGTGACAATGATCTAGATGATCATGAGCGCAGAATCGAGTTTGCACCCAAACCCAAGACTCTCAGAGAGCGAATGGCTGAGAAGATGGGTGAGAATCTTGTGTTACTTGTGTATATTAAATCACTGCTAAAGTAGTTTGGAGAGAGATGAAATGTTCTGGGTTTGTGCTCTGTAGGAAGTGATAGTGACGAGAGTTTTTCTGATAGCCAGGAGGAGGAAGACCAGCAGATGTGGGAAGAGCAACAGATTGGAAAAGGAGTCAAAAGACACCAAGTGAGACCTGACACTGTGACAGATTTTAATAATCTTAAGCCTTTTTGGATAGTATTTAACTTAATATTAATAGTGTGGATAATATTTAACTTAATATTAACTTCCATAGTGTTTCAAGGACCTTTCCTTGTATTCTCAGAAGGATTGGCAGGCTCCTAGACCAGCCCGACAGAAGAAAATGGACATCCCTGAAAAGCTACCACCAATCAGAATTGATGTCATTAAGAAGAGAATCATTGGAAAGTAAGCTGCTGTTATGCATTCCTTATAGATGTTTTTAATTAATAATATATAAAAACATTTAACATTCATAAAACATTCTTAAAATATGAATATTAACTATACTACTATTTTGGTCAGTAAGATTTATTTATTTTTGAAGAATAAATTAAAACTTTTGAGCAAGGATGCACTGATCAAAATTGAGAGTAAAAATGTAGCGTTAAAAAAGTTTTATATTTCAAATGAATGCTTTTCTTTTAAACTTTCTATTCATGAAAAATCTTGGGGGAAAAATTTATCATGGTTTCCAGAAGAAATCAAGCAGTATAACTGTTTTCAACATTGATAATACTACGAGATATTTCTTGAGTAGCAAATCAGCTACTCATATTAGAATAATTTCAGAATGAAGTATCAAGTGACACTGAAGACTGTAGTAATAACTAACTGCTGAAAATTCAGCTTTACCATCACAGGAATAATTTCAAATAGAAATGTCTTTTTTTTTTTTTTTTTTTGGTGCATTCACACCAGGCATGAATACCGTGTCAAATTTGGCGCCTACCGTAGTTATACGCTTGAACACTTTGGCGCGCATAAAAAAACAAAAGTTTGAAGCAAAATTTACGCGAGCATCTTTTTACATTTGGCGTTTGGCATTTGGCGGGCATCTTTTTACAAGACGGCTGATGTTGATCGACCATTCATCAAGAGAGTCACTGCTCTGTATTTGAAATGGAGAGTAGAACAGTGGCGTAGGGATCATCGTTGCCGTATTTGGGTACACCGAATCCTTCTAAGGCGAATCGAGTTTGGAGAGTTTCACCATTTGCTCCAGGAGCTGCGCCTGGATGAGGGGCCGCTTTTAGCCGTACTTCTGTCTGTCCCGCGGCCAGTTTGATGACTTGTTGTCGCGCATCGGAGCAACCATCAACCTCACCCACCTAATCTGTCATTTATTTTGTTTTGATGATAAATGGAGCCAGCCTCTAAAAGTGATTAACCTGTCCTGTGATTTTTTTATTTTATTTATTTTTTTATTTTTTTCTCTCTCGCACAACACTGTCCAGACACGATCTAAATGCAGCCTCTAGAACATTAGAAAAAATCATACTAACTTACTAATCTTACTAACTTCAATGGCAGTATACAGTATATAATTGATATAAAAAATCTCACTGCAGGTTGGAATCGCTTAAGGAGGTGCACAGGGCGCGAGAGGCAGAGCTGAGGAGGATGCAGCTGGATGTGGAAATGGCCAAGAGCACTTTAGAGAGCCTCGAAAACCACCCCGCAGATGAGCAGCTCCGATTCTACCGTACCATGAACGCTTTCTCACAGAACCTACTGGAATGCCTGTCTGAGAAGGTAGGCAAAGTTTATTGTTACTAAATGAAGTATGTATGTAATACAGAATAGTTATATACAATTTAGATGCTCCACGGATTTAATGGTGTAAGGGCTATGACACACCAAGCCAATGGTCGGCCAACGTTGGGCCATTGGTGGGCGTCCTTGGGGCTAGTTTTTGCTGTGTGCAAAAAGTGAGTGCAGTTCACTTCGTGTATACATGCAGGAGCCATCTTCGGACAAGTCGAACCACGAATGCCATTCATACAATTCGCTGAACTTCATTGAGTTCAGCTCACTTGGCACGTCGTTCGTGGCTCCTGCTCCATGCGAGGGCAACAACAAAATCAGCTTCCGTCACCTCTAGATGCCGACTTGGGGTGTGTCAGCCTTTAAGTAGATTGTTTTATTTTTCAGATGGCTTTAATAAACTCTGTTGAGCTGGACATGCACAGTCTCTATATTGACCAGGCGGAGGCGCTGTTGAGTCAGAGAAGAGAAGCACTACTGGAGGAATCCTCACAGATTCAAAAATTAACCTGTAAGACTACAACTGTTTTTTAGTTTCATTGCAAAATTATTATGTAGAGGAGGCCTCACATCTTATACCCTCGTTTATTTTTATAATGATCATAACTTCCATCAATCACAGCACTGAATGCACATTCATTCAATAATATTGTGTATTGTGGATGTCTCGTAGATAACACTGATTCACACAGCAATGGTGACGCAACTGCAGACTCTAGCACCACTCAGCAGAGGTGAGATGGATTATAATGTATGCACTTTCACCATTACTGAATGTTATTGCTGTAAACACTGGATATACTTAGCCTGACATTATGAGTCTTTATAGATTACAGCCTTTCGAGGCTTTCTGAGATGCTTATAATCTTTAAATTACCGTTGTCAAAGTCATTTATCATTGGGTTTTCTATTCTCTATGTGTTTTCATGTCTAAGCTTGTCCTATGAAGACATTGGGTGCGTACCTTGTGACTGGGAACCAACAGTAGAGCAGGAGGCAGAGCTACAAAGTAAAAGAGGTGTGAGAAGCTTTATTGAAGCACAAATAAAATCATTTTTAGTCACCATGAAATGAAAATGGACAATTCTTTTTTTTTTATTGTTATTCCTGTATTTATTATAAATTATATATCCATGCACATGTAATTTTTATTCAAAATAGCTAATTCACCCCACCTACTCCCCCCAACACAGGAGGAAAGTCTATCCGTTTAATGCTGACTTTGAACAGTGGTGTCAGAGCCTAGAAATGCAGAGATCACATCCAATACTTGTGTTTATATGAAATATGTACGCCATCTATAACTTTGATTCAATTTCAGATGATCTACTGAAAAAGGCCCAGGAAGTGTTTGCAGATGTTCAGACAGACTTCTGGGACGTGAAAAAAATCCTCTCCAGATTTAATGAGTGGCGCGTCTCCTTCCAAGAGTCTTACAGTAATGCCTACATTGGCCTGTGCCTCCCTAAGCTCCTGGCACCCCTGATCCGACACCAGCTCATTGGCTGGAATCCTCTTCAGGTGAGCTATGGTTATTTTGACTTTCCACCTGATTATTTTGTGCTACATTCAAATCAGCTTGAAATGATATGCTGTGTTTGGATCTGAAACAACCGGTTTTTCATCCATAAGAAATTGTGGATCAGGACAAACTCAGCATTTGACAGTATGAGTAGTGATTAAGTATGCTGCTTATTGTCAAATATTGCATTTTTACAGCTTACAGCACATATCATATGTATTTGTATCAGCACGTATTTTTAGTTATTATTTTATAAGCCAGATTTCCCAGTCTGCATTGTAGATTTGAAGGTGTGTATTCAGCAACTTGTACGTCAAACAAATTAAATTATGGTACTGAATAAAATTGAATTTGTCCTTACAAATTGAATTTGTTCTTACAATTGAAATTGATTTTGTTCTTACATATATTTCTTCATTAAATTACTAGTTTATTATATTAGCTTTTTAACATTAACATACAAAATTACATTACAGATTATTAGAACTGCAGTGCTGTGCAATGTCAACACTAAAAGCTGTGTCACCAATTATACTGGAATTGACGATAACCATGATAGTAAAAAAATGAAATCCTGATATTGTGTTAATAACACTATATTACTGTACTGTACAAAAATATTATAAATAATCCAGCATCAGTAACTATCTGACTGACAATATAGCAGATGGAGGTATTGCAACTTAACGTTGGTTTCTAGCCGTCACAAACTGTAGCTACAATATCCGCACAGAATCATGTTTGAGGAGAGGACACGGAAAAGCAAGACACTCTACCTGCATTTATTTCAAAGTTTCTATAGATAATTTGATAATATTATTATGAATTCTTGTGGCTATGGTAATCGCCTAGTGAAAATCTGATATTGTGATAGCCCTAATACCAACTGACCATTTAAATCAACGAATGTTTACACATGCAAAAATTGTTTAATGAAATGACACTTATTTCCAGAACTCTATTCCGTCCTAAGATTTGATTTAGATTGTCGATTGGCAAAGATTGACATTTCTTTTAATGACCTTTAAATGTTCACTATTTTTATATATGTCTCTCGTTGACGTCTTGCTACTCATGTTATACCTAACATATTTTAACAATTTTTTGTAATGTAGGCAGATGGTGATGACTTTGAGGCATTGCCGTGGTATTCTGCTGTGGAGAAATTCTGTCACGGTCTGGGTTTTGAGGAATCTGAGAACATGGATAAGACGACACTGCCCACCATAATTGAGAAGACGATCCTCTCTAAAGTTCAAGGCGAGTCATTTGCACATATTTACGCCAACATTTTTACAATTCCCACCAATCTGCATGCATTTACATTGAGTTTGAAAACAGAATATTTCAGAGAATATTTTAATATCAAGCTTTTGATTATAATTTACTATTAAAGGGTTACTTTTGCTGACAAATAAATGTGACGTTGCACTTTAAGCAGATTAGAATGTCTTGCTTTCACTGTACGATTCGTTTGGAAGATCAGAACTAATTATCTCATTCAAATATTGCTTGATGTTTTTGGCAGGTTTCGTGGAGCTGGTCTGGGACCCTTTGTCAACGCAGCAGTCTCAAACCCTCACGACATTGTGCAAGAGAATACAGGATGATTATTCTGTATTTGATGGTGAACAAAGCAAACCTGTCAAGGTGTTGAGCTATGATGCATTAACACTCTGTATGGATCAAAACGAATATAACTATGGATGTCATGTCAGTAAGTATAATGAACCTGTGATTTCATCCTGCAGGCCTTTGTTGAAGCAGTTATTCAAAGGTTAAGGAGTTCAGTTGATAATGACGTCTTTGTCCCACTGTACCCAAAAAAGTAAGTTCTATCTTGATTTGTTTGTTTTTTATATTTTATTTGATCATAATTTAAAAGGTTGATGTGTATTTTAAGATTACATTACATTTGTGTGTGAAAGACATGGTGACTTTGTGTTAGGTTTTTAGATGATAAGAGGTCACCACAGTTCCAGTTTCAGAACAAGCAGTTTTGGTCAGCAGTGAAGGTTTGACATTTCACTTCTGGTCTTGATGAATGTTCATATCATCTTTTTGTACATTAAAGTTCAAATGTTTGGGGCAGGTAAGATCTTGAATGTGTCCTTGCTGAAAAAAAAAAAAACTATTCATTTCTTTTCTTTTTTTCTTACTGACCCCAAACTTTTGAATGGTAGAGTATGTGTTCATGTTAATTAAACTAATATTTAGAGTAAATTGTTTCATTGTGACATGCTGATTGTTTGCAGATTTATTTTTAATTTTTTTCAGTTGCTTGGTAACATGGCATTATGGGATGGTTTGATTCCTGAACATGTTCTGAAAGAGCTAATGTTGGAGAAACTTCTTGGCCGTTACTTGATGATAACCATTCTTAACATATCTGATCCGAAACACACCATCCAGAAATGCAAAAAGGTGCATAAAGTTACATCAATCTAATTTTATGGTTACTTCTTAGGTAGTTATAAAACTAACTTCTATCTTTCGAAAAAGATTGCAGATGGTTTTCCAAACTCATGGTTTATTGATGTGAACGCTGGATCGTCACTACCTCAGCTGCAGAACTTCAGCAAACATCTTCTTCAGACCGCTCATGCGATATTCAGGGACAACAGTGACTCCAGCAACACACGGTATGTAATGTACAGTAGTGTGTGTGCAGTTATTTACACTTCTTCTCACTATATTTATGCTATTAAATACTAAATCATAATTTGTAGTAAAATGACTCCAATTATTCTTATTTTATAATAGATCTAATACTAGTTTCCCCTCTTTTTTTTTTTTTAGAGCACTTTTATCTGATGTGCTGTTTGTCCTTAAGAACATTAAGGCACATGACAGTATTAGGACAATAACAGAAAAATATCAATGTGAGGATCTGTTAAAAGCTCTCCATTAGCAGCCATCTTGTGTCTGCAGAAGGTTTTATATGTTTTTAATTTGCAAAGTCAGTTTTGATATGTGTATGTATAGTGAATAAAATGTTTTATTTTGGCCCACATGGTTTTGATTTTCCTTACCTTGGTTGGAACTGTCATTTACTTCTGTCCAAATAATGAACTATTATTGTTTTTACTATTCCACAATAGTTATTTTTCTGAAACAATAGGCCTATATGGTACTCATTGTACATAGATCCCAATAGAGGTGTTTAAGCCAGCATTTTTAGATCCAAGACTATTTTAAAGACTTAGTCAAAGACGTACCATGCAGAGTCACCATGAACGGTGATTTAGGTTCCATTAATATGATTCTTTTTAAAAGATTTCCTGTTGTGAAGTAACTCCAAAAAAAATACTCTCGCAGATTTCTGAATCTGAGAAGCTATCCAACTGATGTTTCCCCAATTGCAAACCTATTTTTCCACCACTTTATTTGCATCTGTACAGAGGTCCATGTTTCAGTGATGTAATTAGTGGTGCTATATCAGTTTTACATTTTCCTGGTTGGAGAAGCCGTTTGACTTGGATGTACGTCACAATAGGGAAGAAAAGACTATCATGTCTTCCATTTCATACCGAATTTTAACAAATTGATAATACGCTGGCATTGATGCAAGTTTTGCATGGGCAAGTATCCAGAAAATATGGTTGTATTTTATAGTTGTTGTTTTTTTTATTTATTCCGAGACTCAATAAATAGGTTTATTCTTTTGTTGTGGCTTGTTTTCCCCTGTGCATGTTTCAGTTTATGAGGATGACAGATGATGAGCATTACTGGTAAACCAAACAATGACATTTATTTTATTAATGAATGGATCCTCAGAGACAACTTGCATATCCAGTAGACACACATGACCAGAACGTAGCTGCCCCTTAAATTGTTTATGTGTAGTGATTTCATCTCTCGACTAGTCCGTCACTGTTTGTTTTAATTTCTTTTTGATTCTTTTATGTTGAGATATTTTGTGAAACAGTTTCACTACTGTCGCTATGTCAACCAGAAGCCTCTTGAGAAAGTGTATTTTGTCCAAGGATTTTCCATGCTGTGAAATATTTACTGTTCTATCCTTTGACCCCTCAAGTGGGGCTTTGCTAACGTAACAATAGGATTAAAAACCTTGTAGGAAAGAATAAATGTAGGAACAGAACTACTGTAGGGATCAGACATCCTCACTGAAAATCTGGGATTTAAAGTTTAGCCCTGGAAATAAACAAAAGGTACACCAAAACCAAGCATTCAGAAACAACATAAGGTGCTCTTTGTGAAACTTTCAAATCATGCTGGATATCATTATAATCAGGTTTTGCTGTCAGGATGGATGTTCTATAATGGGCCTGGGAAACAGTGGAATAGTGGTGTGTGGCAACAAAAAAAAGTGTGTGACCGAAAGCTAAAATAATTTGTCTTATTTACTCTGAGTAGTCTGTTCAAAGTGATCAGCGTCATGCGATATATCAGTTTTTTTTTCCAATTCTTTGAAGTGCTGATTCACATCTAATATAGCAGAATCAATATGATCATGAGTTCTAGATCAATGGAAGTGTGTCATCATGCACATCACATGAGCTCTACACCAGCCACATGAACGATGAGATCTCAATTGTTTTTTGTTTTTTTACAGATAGACATGTTTTGTTTGCTGTCTTCTATCTTAACCTTATCAGTTACAGTTCTGGGGCCTTGTTCATAAAACGTGTACAGATTTTATCTTCGAGTGTGCTTACACTAATATCCATGCTAACGTTTATTTTTTTTAAACTCGGAAAAGTGTTTAGCGTCATGTCAGGGTCTAAGCAGACGTACGCACTTTTCCTTGTGGCGGAGTCGGAGTAAAGCAGGTATTTGGAAATCTAAGTGATTCTTTATGCTCGCTGTTCTCGAGGAAAGGATTTAGACTCTGACTGTTAATGAGATTAATTAGGGGGAGTTTACAAATGCTGAGATCTGAGACCATTCGGCAGCGCACAATTTCAAGATCATTTGAGATTTATAAGTTTCAAACATTTTCTGTGCTTGCATTCATTTTCTGAATCAATTGTTCGCAAATGACCGTAAGATGTAGGACGGTTTATACTGATGGTCTCAGATCTCACTATATGCTTCGATATCAAATCAACTCTGTATTAATTTGTAGACTGCAACTTCACATTTTGAGTTATGTAGCTTTTAGTTCACATTAAAAAATATTGATGACTCATCCTGCACTCGTTCATTTTGTCCAATCAAATTCTCTCTATAGTGAAAATATCCCCACTCCTTGAACTAGCAATAGCAAGCTATTTGGTATTTAAATACACGGAATCTAAAGTTTCACTATAAATGAACTCAACTGAATTGTACCTCCTTTCCTCAAAGGTCTTATCTCTGAAGTTTTGCTTGGCAATTCAAAAGCTGATCCAGGATTTGCAGTGGCATTAATGTTATATGCCAACTATGGATTTAGACTAAGTCTTAATGGTCTAAAAATTTCATGAAAAGCAGATTTGGGGCAAAGGCTAGGATTTGGCTTGCATTCGCAGCTTGAATTAAGTGATGGGGGTCTCGTACAATATTCTTTTCCTTTTGTCTTCCCTTAGGCATAGGTATTCAATCCTTGTTGTGTCTTTCTTGATTCATTCATGTCTTTTTGGTTACACAATATACCTACAGAGGTTATTCCAGGGGTAGAGTTTGATGGGGATTCAATTTCTCGTCTCGGTTAGGACTCGGAGGGGGTGGTAATCCTTCCAAATGACTTTAACAGACAGTTCAACTTCTGTGAAAACAAAGGCTGAACATTTGAATGGGAGTTGCTGAATACATTTATTTTGCCTCATCCTGAACTTTTGCTTTCCTATTAGATTTCTCCATCTTAAGAGTCACAAGGTAGAATCATTATCAGCCCCTTTTCTACGCACACAGTGAGCCTTTTACGTCAGTTCTGAAGATGACTCACAAAGAATCCAATAAGCATTTCACAGCAAACAGGACATTTACGAGTAAAACGAATCAACACAGATATTTTAGTACACATAAAAACGATTTATCATTTTTATTAGGAGTAAAAAGCTTTACTATGTTCCAAAGTGCATCATAGCACTAATTTTTTTTTAATATTTAAAACTCTTAAATGCTCTGTTTATTTGCAGGTTTAAAATAGATTCTGAATCCCAGCTCTTCAATGTGTCCTTTGAATTCCAATATACACTAAGGTAATATTTGTCTGCAAGCTTCATATTTTTGTGCCGATAACACACACTATCAGGAGGCAGCAAGGGCAGGACTTCAAATGTCAAGCACTGTTAAAGTAACTCTAGATTTAACCACGTCTAGTGCTGCGGCCATGCTCTGAATTCGAATTCTGTTGCTTTTGATTAGCTATATATAAAGATATTGTTTTATTTCAATGAAATTATGCTAATCCATCTTTTATTTATATTCACAGATTTCAATAAAATATGATAAAATACATTTCATTAAAATACATGTATGCATACACCGTGTTACTCCTCATTAAGAATGCATTCTGTGGTCTCTAAAAGTGAGAGATTGTTTAAGATGTTCAGCTAATGTAATATCAAAAAGATGACCATTATCAAAACATTTCATGTGAAAGCAGACATAGCCAGGAGGATAAGTAGGAACTAGGGCATATAAATGCTTGGGTGGGCATTGTTCAGACAGCCTGTCAAGAGACCAGAATAGCATCATCTCCATGTACTCTGTTAGCAACATTTTGTTTTTCACATTTTGTAATTTATTATTATTTTATTTATGATTATTATTATTACTATTAATCAGTATTGGCACTGAATACTGATCTTTGTTATTATTAATTAGTGCCATTGCTGTCAAATCGATTAATCATGATTGATTGATTTTAAAATAAAAGTTTGTGATATATATATATATATATATATATATATAAATATAGCCATTTTTGGCTCTTTTTTGGATTAATCGATTTGACGGCAATTAGTGCCATTGCTGTCAAATCGATTAATCATGATTAATTGATTCTAAAATAAAAGTTTGTTATATATATATATATATATGTATATATATATAATATATAATATATATATAGCCATTTTTGGCTCTTTTTTTAGTTTTTTTTGCCCAAGAGTGTATTTTATACTTGAAATGTAATAATCTTGGAAGAATTAAAATTATCCTATAATCCACACACTTGAACTGAATACTGTTGAATGTCCTAAAGTGTATGCAATGTATCAGTGTCATTTTTCCAGTGCTGACTCTGTGTGAAATGTGTTGACTGTGGGCAGCAGGGCAGTAAAAGCCAGCACATGGGGCAGCTGATGGCTGATGCTGAATTGTGCTGTTTCAGCAGACACTTATGCCTGTTCAACAGGAAAACAAATGAGGGATGGGGTGTTGTTAAGGATGTGGTTTATACTTATATATCCAGGATCCAGATTATCAAAATTAAAGCAGTAACATTTTGAATCGCAAAGCTGGTAAATCATACCCCTGGTTTTACAGACAAAGCTTAAGCCTAGTCCCAAGCAACTTGCACAAAAATTTCTTAAAGCTGCAGTCCTGCATTTTTCATCTTTGTCGCCATCTCTGTTTGAAATCTGCAATTGCAGTCATTTGCGGAATTATCAACTTTACGTGAGTTTGTTCAACACCCTTGAAAAATGTGTTCTGACGATTCATGCTACCCATTGAGATTTGCTACTTACTGGTTATGCGCATGTGCAGATTCATTTTTTTTTAACAAAAGTGTTCTAAAGTAATTTCCCTTTAAAAAATGCTAACTAGCATATGAATATTTGTCCGGTCAGCCAGCTGAACAAGAATAACTGAAAGTTTCAGTTACTATGGAAAGGTGTGCTTCGACAAGTCAAAAATGAATATTTGATGATAATATTTCACTTGTAATGTAATCTTTTAAAAAAATAAAAACAGTAGTCTAGCTACTCACAACTTAGAATTGTATTATACTTGTATTTCATATTATATTAATCGACATTCTGTGATCGATTCGTGCTACGGGAAACATTTTTCGACAAGGCAGCACAAATCGTCAGAACAACTGCACAGCATGGATGAACACAATGTTTGAGGACAGTGTGCAGCTGTCAGTCACCGTGCCGGTGTGGATACTGGCATTCAGAATCACAGATTATTGTTTTTGAAAGTATGACCAACCTAATAATTTTCACCGGAAAATGTCATCTGAACAAGAAAGAAACATCCACTTTTGTTCTGGTTCTGACATTGCAGTAAATCGCGCTGATTAAATCCAACAATCACTTATGCCGAGTTCAGACTGCATGATTTTAGCCACGATTTTGGCTCGCCGACAGGTTTTGAGAAATCGCCGACAAATGCCCGAAATCACAGGCAAATCGGCGCTCGTTCACGCGAGTGACAATCACGCAGTGTGAATGAACAAAGACGCGAACTGAGAGAATCACCGACGAGTCGCCGACGCCCGTGAGATATTTGGCATGCTAAATATCTGGACCTGTCGGCGATTCAAAATCCTGCTGTGTGAAAAGTGTTTTGACTGAAAACTACATCGGCGATCACCGGCAGCCAGTGAGAGAGCAAGATACAGAGCAGCAGGGAGTTCGGGGAGGAGTTATAGATCACATATCAACATGATATGGCATTGTTTCAACAAAAAAAAGCTTCTTCTCGGTCTATTTGGACACAATAAATGGAAGAAAAATTAGTAGAAATTTGGCAGGAGCACTCGTGTCTGTTTCACCAGCTGTACCACAACCGGGTCGAAAAAAAAAAGTCTCACGTGAGAACTCCGGTCTTGCACGTGTGGTGTCGCGCGTTGTTTCCTTTTCATATCTCACGCGTGTTTGTTGTGAAATGTAGTTTGCGTGCAGCGTGCTAGGCAGAGTCTGTCGGCGATTTTTCTAAAGTCATGCAGTGTGAAACCTTCTGTCGCCGATCCATCGTCCAGTGTGAACACAGCAGCGACTGAATGCTGGCCAAGATAGTCATGCAGTGTGAAAAGAGCAGCGACCTGACTACTTTGAAAATCGTGCAGTCTGAAAGAGCCAAGTTATTATATCACGCAAAACCGTGCAAATTATACTTTGTTCTCAGATTGTTAATGTTAACAACAGCATCATTGTGTGACTACATGTAATGCCCTTCAGATATTGTCCTTGTTTTCGCATGGGTCTGGTTGCAGTCGCGTTTTTTCTGTAGCCACTCCGAAATCCGAACAAAGTCTTTTGCATTTTACAGCGGGTGAATCTGTTGTCACTGGTGATTGTCGTTCAAACCTTTCTGGATCCGCCCTCAAATTGACAAGTTTAATTATATCAAGTGCCATGAGAAAAGGCTATAAATCTCCTCCTCAAACATCCTCACACGCAATATAGCCTACTAGCCGAAACTCCTCCTTTATGTGTACAGATGTGACGTAATGACGCAAAGAAATGCTCGAATCTCCCGCGGAAATCCACCTCTAACATTTTTTTTTTCTTTCATTTTCTAAAGCATGTTTATAACAGCTATTAAATTTCCTAATTGAACTAAGGCCTAATCCTGGCTTAATCTAAGCCCTGTCTGTGAAACCAGACCTTATTGTTGTACCTGTCTATACAAAGTTTAGTTGAATGCATTGTTTTTCACTTGTGTGCGTCATCAATATGGTTTTTGCTGTAGATGTAATCTTTGGCCAGGAAAAGATTTCCTCATTATTTTTTCCCCTAGGGATGCTCCAACGTTACGTAAAGCTTTTGAACAATCACGCTAATCTAATCATCTCCATGAGTGAGTTTGGACTTCAGTAGCTCTGCAATCTGCTACATAATGTTCCTTCAGAATCTGTGGATCTCATCTGGCAGAGCACGGCTCTGTCTCTCTGCTTTTATTCGCTCACATGGTCTCGTGTGCTTTTGACATGCCCATTCCCTGGGAAAAGAGGTTTTCTTAATCATCACAGCCCCATTGCATTTATCTGGTTAGTGACAGTGTTTTTCAGCCATTTGAGAATTGAAAATAGAAGACAGACAAGACAACAAATACAGAGCTCATTGTTTGCCACTGTTTGTTTATCGTGGGCTGTCTCTGCTCAAACAGCTTTTATTACCAGCCATTATCTAGTAAGGTTACATGAGGTATGTCAACGTCAGCGCTGGGGTACTCTTTGATCGTGCACTCTCATGCAATATGCACTATTTCTGCGACTACTAAATTCTCATATGGCACTTCATTGTTTAGAATGATAGTAATGTAAGCTGCAGCAAATCTAACCAAACTGTTTAGCCCCTTCCTTATCTTTTCATTGATTTAGAACAGATTTAAATCATTAAAACACTGTTCGTTAGTGATTTTAAAGCATTTGCTTGATATTTAACCACAGTTCCTTCCGTTCACATTTAACTAACTTTGATCATTTCATGGATGGTGATAATGGAGTTGTTAGAAGATCAGGCTGAGCGATCAAAAGCTCAGGTCTCAGTCGCAGACAGACATCTATAGTGGTTCCTATCAGATTAGAGGAAGATGGCCACATTGGGTGGGCAGGTCAAAGACTATCTAAGGCTTTTATGGCCTATAAAAGCCACCGAAACTCAGCTTAATGAGTGTGCTCAAAGTTCATGGGAATGCTCGTTGTTTATATGGACAAACTAATGTTAAACGCATTAAACCGTCATTGTTTTTTTGTTTTTGTTTTTATCTTTTGTCAAATACGAGCCAAAAGAATTTCGCCATATGAATTTTATTGCATTCTATAACACTTCAAGTGGCAGCTTCAAACAAATGATGCTAGAACTAAATTCAGCTTTGCCGCCTTTTTTTCTGGTTCTAAAGTCTCTTATGCTCAGCAAGGCTGCAATTATTTGATCAACAATACAGGAGAAACAGAATTATTTTGAAATATTATTACAATTTAAAATAACTTTTCTATTTTGATATGTATGGAAATGTCTGTAATTGTGGACAAATGTGGGCACAGAGGACTCAGGTGTGATCCTAATTTTTATTTATTATAATTGTTATATCACTGTCTTCGATTAAAGTTTTGTCTATCCATTTATGGTGGGTTTTTTTATTTTGGGGGTATTTTTGAATTTATTTACTTCAAAAAGTACCATATTTTCTATGTAAATTATGCTTATTTTTATGTTTTATTTTTTTTAACTACATTAAAATATCATTCCAATAAGTTCCTAGAGCTAAAACCTAAAGATGAAGTGACTTTGCTGTCACCTGGTGCCTTATTTTGGCTTATTTTAGAATGCTCTAAATTACAGTTTTTCCCATTCATTTCTATAGGTGCCAATTTTTGACCCAAATACAAGATCAAGGAGTTTTTTTTCACCCGCTTAACATTGTAGAATTGAGTCAAAAAAATGGTGTGTGTTCAGGAGGCAAACTTAGGAAAAGTAGCCAAGTCTTGTACCGCTCAGATTAAGGGAAGTATTTTTAAAAAAAATAAATCAAAACTATTTTGCCCACATTTGTCCAGAATACGGTTTTAGGGTTAATTCCTGTGATTTCAGATTTGATTCTAACATTCTGATTCGCTACTCAAGAAACATTTCTTATTATTATCAATGTTGAAAACTGTTCCTTTTCACACAGATATCCTACAGGTCACTAGGTATTTAGCTGTCCGTCTTTAAAACAAAGGCCACTTTGTGTGATGTTTTGTTATATTTGGCTACTGCAAAGAAATGCATACATTATTACGTGTGGCTTACGTTACATATATATTCTCGTACCACTGTGTATTTCTCATTGTTATTTGATGGTAGGCTAATGCATTTTAAAGAAGATGCATTTTTTATGAATGTCACTCCTGTACACGTGCACACATATATGTACAAAAATGCTTTTTTTTCCCCCAGAGAGCCTCGCAGCAGAATTCCCAGCACAAGTTAAAAGGCAAATTCCAAGTACAGGCTGAATGAAATTCCCATGTCATGTCCTGTTCTCTACTTGTAGTCCAACCATCCCCCTCGTTCTCCTCCTTTTCCAGACTCCCTCTCTCTCTCTTTCTCACTCAGTCTTCCAGACCTCCCTCTTTCCCTTTCTTTCATACTCCCTGCTCTCCAGAGTTTCATTCTGACTGGTCTGTGTCTGTCAGTGGTGAATATTTCTGCCTCCTGCCTTCTCCGTGTCACATTCCAGCTTCTAGGGCACAGCGTCCTCCTGACATGGGTTATAAAGAGAAGCACAGCTCTAGTATGCATCTGCACTCGGCGCTATGACCACCTTTTGCCATCAGTGAATTTTTTGAATTGTTTTGAATAGGCAAACAGACACTCCAGGAGAGTTTACCTTCCCTTCTTTGAGACCTTTTGGACTTGTATGGATTCTCATTTGTACAGAAAGCTCACTTATGCACAGTGGAATACTCAAATGAAACGGCTTCAGCTCAGATGTGTGCATGGACAGAATACAATGGGTGAGTTTGAGTGGAACTGTGTGATGATCATATTGCAATTGTGGGTTTGGCAGTTACTGATTAAACAAAATTGAACAGTCACACTTATTGAATGCTTATTAAATCATTTAATTTGATATACTAATAAAAATTCATTCATATACTAATTTAATATATTCAAAATAATTATATTTAAAATATTATAATAAAATATTTAAGATATTAAATATATAATATTATACTGTTTTTATCAATTATACTGAAATGTTTTACAATTATAGTAAATAATTATAAATTATAATTTTATAGCTTATTTATAGGTGTTTCACTGCCCTTTAACTTTAATGTTTTTATTTAATGTTCAACTGTAACATGAATAAACAGATCACGTTGAGGTCATAATCCCCCTGTCTATGGCCATACAGATATGATCTATAGGCCTATCCTTTTTTTCTGCTAAATTAATATACTCTGCTAAAGCTATGAATTATCAAGGTTTGTATAACGTGGTTCAGAGCTCACTATAAGGAAGATATAATACCACGACGCACCATTGCAAATGAATTGACTATGCAATTAGTTTATCCACACCTTCAACAACCAAAACAAGAAAAGAAAAGGGGAACACCTTTGCTCTCTGTGTTAAATAAAAGCTGTTGAATGACTCTCAGGGGTTATGGACTCTGTTTGAACAACAGCACGCTCGCAGGATTTCCCTTACAACTTCACATTAGATTGATGTCTTTTCTCTGCTCAGGAGGGCCAAATAGGGTCAACATCATCCCTCAAGCACAACCAGACATCCATGAGCCATGAAACAAAACCCAAATGGTGATTATGGCTGTTTGACACAATTAAAGCAAGTTTAAGATTAACAATAAGGTTCGGTTTGTTACCATTAGTTAATGCATACCATGCATTTACATCACTTATTAATCCAGGTTAATAAAAAAACAAAATATTGTTCTTGTAATTCATGATTGTTCATAATATTTTAACCAATGTAGATTTACACAACTTCAAATGTTAAGAATTTATAAGTATAAGTAAAAATTAAAATGCTATTGCAATTTCATGTTAGCTAATGCAGTAACTAAACTGAACCCAACTGTAAGGTGTTGACGCTTTTTGCTACTTAGAAGTGTACGCACAATTTCAGGGCCCAGATATATCCTCAATCAGGTTTTTAGCATTATATTATAACTAATGACATCACTAACAGGAGTTTCTCTGTGTGTGCCAGCGGAGTCAGTGAGGAGGAAGTGTCCTTTAGTCAAACCTCTTATTTTATACGTCCACGTCCACCCTCAAATACACAAAGACCTCAATGTCTAGACCATAATTGAACTATTAGCTAATAGCTACCTAGCCAATTGTTAGAGTGTGATATCCTTGTGGCCATAGACCTCATGACTAGAAACAATACTTTCCCTCACCTTAAGAGTTTGTCTCACTTTTAGAGCCTGCTGTCGCCTGCTCTGGTTCTCGAAGGTCTCTAATAGAAGGACCAGATGTTGGCAGGACTTCCTGCAAATCAAGTGGTCTCAGACAGCTGCTTTGTGTCAGCTCCTGTCCCTGTTCCCGCTCCTAGAGCAGTAACGGTGGGGCCGGTGGCCCTGAACGCACACAGGGCGGCATTGTTCAGTGAGACAGGCTGAACACACAGGATTCATACAGGTCTGAGTTGAAGTAAGTGTAGTGGCCAGAGACTTCAAACTGAATGGCCATGTTGTTTCAAACCTGTGTGAGTTTTATTTATCCTGTGGACACACAACACAAAAGCAGATATTTAAAATAATGTTCTCGTTGCTTTTTTCCATTCATTGGAAGCATACAACAACTTGCGGCTGTCAAGATCCATAAAGGACAAAAAGCACCATAAAATTACCATAAAAAATATATCATTCTCACATACTTGAAAAGTAGTGTCAATGAATAACATTTGATCATCAGCTTTTACATATTTCCTGAAATCTTTTAATGAGCCTGCTGTTGTTCATTATGTTCCCTATTTCACTCTTTTTTTTTTTTTTCTTAATTTAATATTTTCCTTGTTGGTTTGGCTGCTTGAAGTCACAATGCAGTGTTATAATGTAATTCCACAAAGCCTTCTATTGGAAAAAAAAGCCTTCTGTCAGTATGAATCAAGCTCAAAAATACACAGGACCCTGGCAAGGGAGCATGTGGTATTTCATGAGCCCCTGTACCATTATACTCAGGGATTTGCCTGTTTTGTATGAGATATGTGTTTTGTGCAGCATTACGACCAGCCTATCACATGCATGCTTTCATGATTCAGCATATATCAGCACTGCCAATGGGGTGCAGTTAAGCAATTAAAAAGAGAACAAGTGGCTATGGTTAAAACGAAAACATGAGGGAAACAAACTAAAAACAATGGGGCATTGTGTTGTCTGTTTTAGGGTTACGTCATTTAAAAGCAAGCCTGCCATATTTACCATTTTCAAATTTAAAGTTATATGGTAATAAAGGGCCATTCACACAGAACACGTTTTGCATTAGTTTTTTCATTGTGTAAACATATATATTTTTTTAATCTTGCCGTTTCTTTTTCAGATACACTGCCCTTCATCTTGTATACTTAAACTCATTGTATTTTGTGTTAAATAGCCATAGCCCCCTATTGTTTATATTTGTGTTTTTGAATGCAAAATACACTGGACGCAGTTGTGAATCTCATGTCATATTTAGAATGCGGAGTCATGTTAAAGGGATAGTTCACTTTGAAATTAATTTTTGATATGTTTTAGCTTAACGTTAGGCTACCTCAAGGGCATCCAAGATGTAGGTGTCTTTGTTTCCACTGTATTTTCAATTATGGTATTTTTCGGTCAAACCGTTGTTGTTTATCAGTCATGTTTGTCAGTCAAGTTGTTTATCAGTTCTCACACAAAACGCTCGTTTCGTGTCTTGGGCCATCAATGTGTACTTACATTCCCGAGTCATTAAATCATGTTTAATTTGGACTTCTCTGTGCATGCTCTTTTAGGTGGGCCCCGTAAATCTCCATTATATGACTGATGGACAACGGTTTTACCGAAAAATTTCAAAATTGAAAATACTGTGGAAACAAAGACGCCTACATCTTGGATGCCCTTGAGGTAAGCTAAAACACATAAAAAATTCATTTCAAAGTTAACTATCCCTTTAAAGGGATAGTTCACCCAAAAAATTAAAATTACTCATCTTCAAGCCATAGGTGTATATGACTTTCATATTTTAGACAAACACAATCTGAGATAAAAATGTCCTGGTTCTTCCAAGGTTTAAATGGCAGTGTATGGAGGAGATTTTGAAAGTGCATCAATCCATCATAAAAGGGCTCCACACTTCACCGGGGGGTTAATAAAGGCCTTCTGAAGAAAAATATTCATATTTAACAATAAATATTCATATTTAACAATATTCATATTTAACAATTCCAACAGGCCGCCTTCTGAAGAAAAATATTCATATTTAACAATAAATATTCATATTTAACAATATTCATATTTAACAATTCCAACAGGCCGCCTTTATTAACCCCCCAGGAGCTGTGTGGAGTACTTTTATGGTGGATGGATGCACTTTTTTGGGCTTCAAAATCTCGTCCTCCATTCACTGCCATTATAAAGCTATAAAGAAGAATGTCATGTATAGAATGGCTTGAGGGTGAATACGTCATGGGGTAATTTTCATTTTTGGGTGAACTATCCCTTTAAACGAGGTTCCTTTAAAAAAAAACATTGGAGACCTTGCTTTTTTTTTATTCCACTGCCCTGAATCTCAAAAAGGACACAAAGGGACTATAAGTTGTACACAACAAAACAACAACACTGTGGATGCATTACAGCAAACATTCCAAATCCATCTGTCATGTTGCCAGAATTGGCAAAAGCACAGGGAGTACCTCACAAATAGAACGGAGCATCCCTTTACTGTTAGATACTCAATGCAGGATAAATGTGGACATCAGACAGTTTTTGACCCAATGCAACACGATTCTGTGCTTGTACGCAAATATATTATTACTTCTGACGCCATTTGATAGTTATGTGTTCCGTGAAAGAAAGAAATGTATACAGGTTTGGAACGACATAAGTGTGAGTAAATTAAAAAAATTTTCCTTTTTTGGATGAACTATCCCTTGAAACCTTTATATGCCTTTCATGAGCTTGTGTGGTGAACAAGTTCAGCATAATAAACCCAAAATACTTTTAACAGTTCTGTGGCAGCCATAAATTCTAATGTGCATTAGAAGCTTGATCTCGCATAAATATGGTAATACTTAGCATCTGTCTTCACAGACGGTCTCTTTCTTTTCAATTAAACTCTTGTACTGCAGATCACTTAATGTCTTGTGTTAATAGTGTTGACTCTTTGGCCTATAATTATGGAGTTGCTAACTGTTTCATTCTGAGCCAGGTGTGCGTGGCCTCTAGCAGATCAACTGAGCAGGCAACGTTTCAGCTGTTGCAGGCATGTAACCATTGCCACTACACAATGGCTTCCTTTTATGGTTGATATTGTTTTACACCCAGTGTAGCAAGTGACTTCGGCCAGCTGTTTTGATTTGTTGAGTCTTACAGGTTAAAATCAATATTTTTTGGAAGCAACTAAAATGTGAAGTGTATGATGCTTTATAAGACAGAATTGAAAATGAAACAAATGTTCTTCAAAATAGTCACATGGGCCTCTCAGGTCAAAGACGATACAGTGTACGGTACCATGCAAAAAGCCAGGCTGAATGTTTGTTTGTTTATCCTATGGGGTCTGCTCTGAATGTGTGTGTGCGTGTGCTTCCATGTGTGTTAGTGTGATCTGTCAGTAAGAGCATAATCTGGCCTCCGGCTTGCTTACGTGGTAAAGCTGTGTTCTGAGAGACGGGACCTTTGTGAAGGACGGTGGAATGGCACAAATTGTAATACTTCAGTGTTTTTAAACGACTGTTTCTCAAATGGAGTACAATATGTAAGAAGAGCCTCTGAATATACGTTTCTAGAAGTTGTACATTCCAAGAA